GTGGTTCTCTAAAAGAAAACATTTGTACGTATTTCTCATAGGGTCCTATGTTAAACTAAGTCCTCCGCTGGCGTCCATCTTAGATTATGGATCGGCTTCATAGTAACAACACTTGGTCAGCACCTCATAAGGAACATTCATGCCATGTTTGGTTTCATTCCATTCAGTGGTTCTCCAAAATAAGACATTTGTATGTATTTCCCATAGGGTCCAATGTTAAACTAAGTCCCCTGCTGGCGGCCATCTTGGATGATGGATCAGCTTCATAGTAACAACACTTGGTCAGCACCTCATAAGGAACATTCATGCCATGTTTGGTTTCATTCCATTCAGTGGTTCTCTAAAAGAAGAGATTTGTATGTATTTCCCATAGGGTCCCATGTTAAACTAAGTCCCCCGCTGGCGGCCATCTTGGATTATGGATCGGCTTTAAAGTAACAACACTCGGTCAGCACCTCATAAGGAACATTCATACCATAATGGTTTCATTCCATTCAGTGGTTCTCTAAAAGAAGACATTTGTATGTATTTCCCATAGGGTCCTATGTTAAACTAAGTCCCCCGCTGGCGGCCATCTTGGATTATGGATCGGCTTCAAAGTAACAACACTCGGTCAGCACCTCATAAGAAACATTCATGCCATGTTTGGTTTCATTCCATTCAGTGGTTCTCTAAAAGAAGACATTTGTATGTATTTCCCATAGGGTCCTATGTTAAACTAAGTCCCCCGCTGGCGGCCATCTTGGATGATGGATCCGCTACAAAGTAACAACACTTGGTCAGCACCTCATAAGGAACATTCATGCCATGTTTGGTTTCATTCCATTCAGTGGTTCTCTAGAAGAAGTTCAAAATGTAAAAAGTTAACGCCGACGACGATTTTTTCACCTAAGGGATATTTAACTCACATCTTCGAATAGATGGATGGATGGATTGATGTTTAACGTCCAGTGGCAAATATCAGGACGAGAACCTTTTGATTTGATATGATTATGAATCGAACCTTGTATTAGACAGACATGCTGAGCTGGGTTCTTGTCATGCTAGTTTAATAGGTATCAGTTAACAAGACGACAGATCATACTATATAGTTAACTGACCAGTGTTTGCTCTGAAGCAGCAAATATCAAGTCTCTCATACCTCTCCTTTGGCAATCAACATATATAACAAATAGGGAACATCATTATCTGATGATCAGAGATATCTTTATTTACTTTACTAACTAACCTATCCATTTTTCTTCCTCATGTCTCATCACTGGATTTTTACATTTGATGAGTAACATGATGAGTGTCAAAAGCGACACAGAAACTGGAGTTCACACACAGTTTCTGTTTCTCAATATTGAGTTCTTCATATATATCGTCTACCTTTTAAATTTTTTGAATTTTATCTTTTGGAGAAAGTCTTTTGTTTCTTCCGTATCTTTTTATAATTTTTTACTTATCATTTTCATTGGATCAAATGAGTTTAATCAATACTCAAACAATTCATGAAAAAGAAAACTTTTATTATGCATTTTTGGAAACTGAGATTAAATACATGCAATACAAAAAAATAAATAGTATACAAAATATATATATCATTAAACATACTCCCTTCACCTATAAGCTACAACAAATCAAAATCCTTCAACAATCTTAGCAACCAAGTTAAAACAATTCATTCACATCAAGGCTAATATAAATTATAAACCTTAGCATTTCTCCCTAATTTCAAAGAAGCCAAACAATTTCCTACAAAATCAAATCTTGACAATTAATAACAAAATAAGAAAATAAAAATAAAAAGCACAATATGAAAAATGTTTTTATTTCTTTTAAGTTATTTTAGTTGTTTTACCATAGATATTTTTGACAATCTCTTCTTATAAATAGTACTTCTTCCAACCCCTCTAATATAAGGCTCCACTGATATCTTTGTTAACAAGATAGGCATCACTGATTGTAAGAAACTGTTTACCCTTCCGGAGCAACCAAGTTCATCTCCCGATTTTATGTGGGGTTTGTGTTGTTCAATCTAGTTTTTTAATATCATAACTGGTACAAATTTTACTGCAGGAGATGCGCATTTTGACAATTAATGTCTCTTCAGTGATGCTCGAGGTCAAAATATTTGAAAATCCAAACCCCAATACGAATGTTGAAGAGCTAATCAAACCAAAAAGTAACTAACATACAGCCAATCTGGACAAGGAATCAGAGCTTTGCATGAGGGAGATATATTTTCTAAGAAGTGTTTTGTTATTGATGCTTCGTTTTTTGGTTGTTTGATTTTTAGCTCACCTGGCCCAAAGGGGCAAGTCAAATTTTGCCCATATAGTTAGTAGACTGTCACTCTTTATAGGAGTCATTGCCCTTAACTGAGGATTCTTTTTATCCTCTTTTGTGTTTTGAGCAAAAACTAAAGAAGATAGAGAGAAACTAAACAGATAAATCGATCAGCAATACAAGATCAACAAAACAGAGATTTTTGTCATGAAATCTATACTCGTCTACAATGTTGGAGAGTGTCCTTTGTTGAATAAGCACATAGACCAAGGTGAGCGACATAGGCTCTTTAGAGCCTCTATTTTTACAATGGTGCTGTATGTTTATATTTGACATATGATTTATCATTGCCCCTTGATATCTTTTCTCTTTATTGTTGAGGGCTGATATATAAATCTTAAAAAAAGTTCTCTGCGGGTAAAGCACTTCAAATGAAGATTACAATGAAACTAATATAAACATTTCTCAAGCATTTTTACAATGAATTTTTTTTTTAGTTGAGATGTTTGATTCAATGCAATTTCCTTAATTGTTGTCAAAAATTGTTAATTTCAAAAGAATTCAAAGGAAATGTTTGTACTTATATATCCCAGATGGAACCAATATCTTCTTCATGAAACACACTGATTATTTTACAGACAATTATATAACACAATCATAGTCAACTTTATCATTATAACAAACAAGGAATTTAACCCTTTCAAATGGACATCACACAAGGCCTTCATTCCATTGTCTCCTAAAACCATCTATCCATTTATGTAGATTCATATGTATTGATAACAGCAATTAATTTTTCTATCACGTTTCTTGATAAATTGAACAATTGATTTGGTATTCTGTAGTCAATAAATTTGAGTCTGATGTAAGTTTTGACTGAAAATCTTCACACCGGTTATCCTGTTCCAAAACCGCAGGGGATCTGAATCCCGAGGAGCAACTAATGAAAAGTTTATAACGGTGGGCAAGTACAATCTGAATCTGATTTCCACGGAGGAATTATACTCTGTGTGAATCAGATCCAGATTATACCTACCCATTGTTACAAACTTTTCATAAGTTGCTGCACGGGATTTGGTTCCCTCTGCCGATTTCGGATCGGGATACACGATTTGATCTTGTAAAGAGGCATTTTATAGGTCTAATACTGTAAATCTGAAGTTTTGAAGGGTAATAGAGGATTCCTTGAGTAAATTGACAAAATTAACTATGATTACTGTAATGATACAAAAAACACTGTTCTGGTTATATAGTTTATCTGACAGAGGATCATTTTTTTAATTTCCAAATATAGATTTGTTTGCTGTTGTACAAAGCTAGCTTTTTATGTTAAACAAGCTATCATTTCTACTAAATTCTAATTTGAGATTCTTAACATTAAATTCTACATTGAGATTCTTGTTAATCATATAAATTGAGATTCTTGTTAATTCTCCATTGAGAGTATTGAATCGTACATTGATTCAATTCAATTAAATGACCTCTGTCGAGATGTTTTTCTCAGTGCAGAGAACCTGCTCAACTTTCTGTCACATTAAACTCTGTTTAGTTTCCATTACAATTTGTTTGTAATTTCAGGAGCAGGTAAAATGCACTGATTTTTAATTTTTGTTTAATTTTGGCAATTTTTGCCTTTTTAAGAAAAGAAAGCAATGGAATTTATGTCACAATAGTAAAATATACTTATTTCTCTTTCAATACTACTGAACTATACACAGGGGAGACAACCTTGTCTTCAATGTACCATCTGCAGTATCTCCATTTTTTATTAACAATGTATAAAAGTGACTAAAATACCATTGCTTTCCCCAGAACAGCGTTCATAAAAAAATTTACACATTGATACAAAAATATGTTTTAAATTAACAATTATGTACATATTCCCACATTACATAAAGATATATAGTAATCTCCAAAAATTTGTAAGGGTTCCGCGGAACCCAGTGTCTCACCTACTTTTGCTGTTAATCGCAGGCTCAACAAAAATGAGGAAAAAAATTAATAAAAATATTCCTCTCTATGCTATCTTTTGATTGCAAGTAGCTTCTGTCCAAGTTTGGTAAAAAAAATCCAGGATAGTTTATGAATCTAATAAATGTTTTTAAAACTTTAACTGCAGTCTGTATGTAATGTTAACTGGAAGAAAAACTAAGTCCATTTATAAGTAAAATACGGAAAAAATGGAATTTTTTTTTTTCCACAAAATTTACTTCTGGATACTATCTTATGATCATAAACAAGCTTCTGTCCAAGTTTGGTACAAAGCCAGGATAGTTTAAGAAAGTTGTTAAAATTTTAAAAACTTTAACCACAGAGCAAATGTAATGTTAACTGGCAGAAAAACTAAGTCCATTTATAAGTAAAATACGGAAAAATGGATTTTTTTTTTTTACAAAATTTACTTTTGAATATTATCTTATGATCATAAACAAGCTTCTTTCCAAGTTTGGTAGAAATCCAGGATAGTTTAAGAAAGTTATTAAAATTTCAAAAACTTTAACCACAGAGTGAATGTAATGTTAACTGGCAGAAAAACTAAGTCTATTTTAAGTAAAATACGGAAAAATGGATTTTTTTTTTACAAAATTTACTTTTGAATATTATCTTATGATCATAAACAAGCTTCTTTCCAAGTTTGGTAGAAATCCAGGATAGTTTAAGAAAGTTATTAAAATTTCAAAAACTTTAACCACAGAGTGAATGTAATGTTAACTGGCAGAAAAAAAAACTAAGTCCATTTATAAGTAAAATACCGAAAAATGGATTTTTTTTTTTACAAAATTTACTTTTGAATATTATCTTATGATCCTAAACAAGCTTCTGTCCAAGTTTGGTAGAAATCCAGGATAGTTTAAGAAAGTTATTAAAATTTCAAAAACTTTAACCACAGAGTGAATATTTGTGGACGCCGCAGACGACGACGGAATGTAGGATAGCTATGTCTCGCTTTTTCGACAAAAGTTGAAGGCTCGACAAAAATGATGTTTAAAAGTCATAAAAATATAAAATTTACATTTACATCTTTTTTTTTCAAATATAAAAAACAATGAAATCTTTCACTTCGTCCCATTGTCAGCTTATAAAAGGAAAAAAATGACTTAATGAAAACCTGCTGATTGATGTATGTTTACTATCCCTCCAGCAAATCTAATTGATATGAATAACTATCAAATTAGTAACAATGTCTAAGGGCTGTTCCGGAATTAACCATATGGGGCATGGGAGGCACTTTTTTTATACCATAAAAAACGCATAATATAAAATTCTAATTAAAATCCAACCACTGAAAATCAATCAATTTGAGTGCCTCCTGAACTTTCATGAAATTTAAATAACCCAAGAATGTTTACCATTTAAAACAAACCAAAACAAAATGAGTCTACATATTGTTTTGAAAATTATTATTATGTGAGTTAAAAAAATGTCCTAAGGATTATGAAAGAACATATTATTCATTTCTTGGAATTCATATTTTTTGAGGTAATAATAAAAAAATATATATATAATCATTAACACAAACTACAATTACAAAAACATAGCTAAGTAACAATATTTACATAAACTTCAATATATCACAATTATGATAATCACTGATTTCAATTTCTAAATATTGAATTTTTCACTACTACAAAACATCAATTTCAGCAAAATTAAAAGCACAAAATTTACAGCCTAGCAAGCTTTGAACATAAGTCATAAATTTAAATTTTCATTTCTAAATATCTATTTCATAATAACCAACTGATTTGATCAAAGGAATTTAAATTCTATAAATCTTTAGCACTTTGTGACAAAATAGCAGATTCTTCAATCTGCTGACAGCCATTTTATCAAATTTCCAAAGAATGTATGCTACAAATATAATTCCAAAGTTCTCAAAAATAAAATTTGTTTAATTACAACATTTTTTTCTTAGATCAAATATCTGCCTTCTCAATCTCTTTACAATTCAACTGGTTCCTCCTCTGACCCATTACTTCCCATGAAAGCGTCAATACTTTCAGCATCCTCAATGGTGTCTGGTAACTTCCTTTTTGCAGTTTCAGGCAAAAATAGAACTAGTAGACTGGCAACAAGGGAAATAACTCCAAACATTATCACAGAAACGGATTTGTGGGTAAAATCACCCTGAAATGTAAATCATTGACAAATGAATTATTTAAAATTATTAATTATGAAGTCAATGAGTGTTCATTATATTATCACATTAGCCCTTGTTTTACTATTCCAGTTCAAAGAATTCGGGAAAATAATTAGATCTTACGTGTTCAGCAAATTGCAATATTGACTTAGTTTGTGTTTAAGTTCTATGTGTATAAATACTGTGACTTAAGAAATTACTGTGTGGCTTTATTATTGTGATTGCTGAACAATGGACAAATATGTGAAATTAATTATCATGATTTCAGGAAATGCTGCAAACAAATAATGCTCTTAAAATTTGAAATACCGGTAGGTGTTCTTGATTTCGCAATAATATTGATTGATTGATTGGTGTTTAACACCACATTCAGCACTATTGTGCTATTTCGTGGTGGTCAGTTTCTATTTGTGGAGGATCCAGAGATAACAACTGACCTTCTGCAGGATTCCACAATTACAAGAAATGGCAAATCAATTAGCACTACCAGCCCATTAACCTAACTGGCATCAACTCAATCTGGCCCAGAAAGCTATAAACTTTAATTTTTATAGACTTATAAAACAGATCAATTACCAAAACAGGAATCTGAAGGGTACCAACTCCTCTCAATCTGAACTTAAAAGCACAATTCTATTCTAAAGTTCCTATATAACAGATCACTTACCAAAACAAGAATCTGAGGGGCCACAACTCCGCCCAATCTGGCCCAGAAAGCACATGTTCCCATTCCTATGCTCCTATGAAGAAAAAACTTGTAAATTTAATATCTTTATAAGTATTCTACATTGTTTAGCATCAAATTATATTTTCCATACATTTCGTAGAGGATTGTCCTAAAATTAACCCTCATGAAAATCAAATATCTAATGTTGCTCTAAAAATCGTTTTTATTGGACAGTTGCAATGTATTCAATAAGAAAAAATAATTTGAAATCAGTTTCTTTCTATAATTTTAAATTTTGTTTTTACCAAGAACAGTTTCTACAAAATTAATTATTTTGACACCCATGCCGGAATACTGTACCCAAATTTCCACCATGATGTAATCCAAGGCTTCCAAAACAGTCATATATTCCTGACATTTGTATAATGTCCGGTAAAAGTCCGGCTGGGCAAAGCACGAAACGGTCATCTACTTTTTAGATTTCAAGGCTTTCTAAGAGATGGTCATTTTAACATAATTCACGATCTTTTTGACCCAACTTTTTGCCTTTAACAGTCACACATTTCCGGTCATAAAAGTGACATGATCATTAAGTACTATCAAAACAACCCCTACTTTAATACCTTCTCATTTTAATTAAGGCTAATTAGTTGTCGATCAGCTGAAATTTACCTGTTCAGGTGACAGGTAAACTATTTTGAACCGGACATTGATCGGTCTATTCAAAGTTATTTTCTTACATTTCACCGGTTTGCATCTAATTAATTTAGTCAAAAAGATTTAAATTATCAGAAATACATTTACAAATAAGATTTGATGAAAAAATTAAAGAGGTGAAAATGAAAAATCGTCATAACCACGTTGTTTGAACCAGAGACATGTCTCTGTTTGAACTAGTACATGTGTGTGCATGTGCCTGTGCGCAGGTGTGAAATTTAATTTTGCATCCTAATTTCTTTAAAAAAAGGCTTAAATTGTCATTGATACCTTTATCTCACGTTTATTTCGAATATTTTCTTGAAGAAATAACGTAGAATGAGCTACTTACACTCATTCATGCTTTGCAAACGTACACGGAATTTACGTATCCGTCTCTGGTCCATGTTTTACCATTGTCAAGATAACATCCGGTTTCAGATTAAAAACGAAAGTAAAGTTTTTGACAACATTATTTTGAACAAATAAAGAGTCTAAGGCAGATATAAGTACGCTGATGTTTCATACTTCGGATGGTGCACTGCCAATTTAACAGTTTACGTCAGAACTTCGAATTTGAATCAAAGAAAGTTTAATATCGTTTTTTTTTAATTATCAATCATTGGGATGGCCAACTCGGCAACTGATTACCATAATTGCCTTTTGTTTATTTAGTCTTAAGGGATTAAAATCAGGATAATATATAAAATGTCCGGCTGGCTAAAAATAATTTTGGAAGCCATGATGTAATCATACTGTTGCAGAACTGACATACCTGATAACTGTTGGGTAAAGCTCAGAACTGTAAACAAATATGATACTGAAAACACCGGCCATTCCAAACTTCCCAATGATAGCAAACACTTTCTCGGCAGTCCCTGATGCTCCTGAAAAACAAATCGTATTTCCTTAAATACTGTAAATTCAGAAATTATTGCGATGTTTTTATTATTGCGAAAAATGTGACAGGGTTATAATCGCAATAATTTAACCTCGCATTTTGAAATTTTTAATATGAATTAAACTGGATTTTTCTCAATATCCCAAAAATTAAAATAGCATTTTAGTCTAAAATGACAAAATCGCAATAATAAATGCACGCAATAATTTCTGAATTTACTGTACAGATGTATCGTTTACACTTAAACCAAAAAGCATCTGTTACTGTGAATTCTTTTTTTTTCGTTGGTACCAATTTTTGTGGATTGAGTAAAAATGGATTTTCGTGGATATCTAATTTGGTGGTTTAGCCAAAGTCTACTAAGAAGCCCATAGAAAATGTGTACTTCATTAAGGATTTAAATTTGTGGCTCACCTTTATCCACGAGTCCACAAAAATTGGTATCCAACAAACCTTATTGAATCCACAATACTTGAGATTTTTTTCCTTATAACTTGGAATAGTTCCTATGTTTAGACTTAGATCAGCTTTCTTTGGAAATAAAATCAAATCAAGCTGTTGAAGCCAATCTTTGTTTTACATATATCTACCTATAATCAATTACACAAAACACCCTTTTCCTAATTTAAATTTTAATTATTTATTAGCTGCTGTAAATAATAAAAACAAAAGAGCCTCTATTTAACAACATTGACTTGAATAAATACCTGTTAATGCTAAAATGCTGAAAAAATAGGGTTGATAGATGGGCACGACAGGGGGTTGGAACTCACAACCTTAGTATTGACAAGATAGTGATACAGTAGTTGAACAGTCAACAAGGCAAGGCCCCTCCTGTTAATTATACTTTGTACATATTTTGTGAAAAGTGTTATGAAAATCTGTAATGACACTTCTTTGCAAGAAAAAAACTAATACTTTGTCAAGTCTAAAAGATTGGTTGATTGATTGGTATTTGGTACTTTCAGCACTATTGTGCTATTTCGTGGCGGTCAGTTTTTATTGGTGGAGATAGCCGGAGTTCCAAGAGATAACCACTGACCTTCTACAAGAAATTTCTTTCTTTGCTGAACTTGAAGTGTCATACAAAAATAAAGTTTAATTTTTTCAACCTACCTGCTAGTGCAATAGGAATGGATCCAGCAATTATACACGAAACAGATCCAATAACAAAGTACACCAATAAAGGAATTCTTCTTCCAAATCTGTACAGGATTAATAAAAGATTGACAATTGTACAGTATTGGAACAAATATTATCAGTATTGTGTAAGGAATTTTCTGTACATATGTAATAAGAGGACTTTAAGGTTATTTCTACTATCAAAATTTTGGTTTTGTGTACTTTTTTATTTCATTTACCAGCTATTAGTATTATCCTTGCATATACAGTCAAACCTATAAATAAAGGTTATTCTTGGGCTCAGAGAAAACTGACATAATAAGAGAGGTGATATGTGAATTGAGATTCAAAATGCACTGGTATTACTACAGTTTGACAAGAGGAAGGTGATCTGACAAGACAGATTTTTGTATTCTTTACATTTTTTTTTTTACATTTTTTTCTCTATTCTTTATTTTTTTGGCCCTCTAGTCTGCACGATTTGCCAATTATTCTCTTATCTGTAAACACTATCCAGATCCCTCATGATACAACTTCAAGGTATTGATGTGGGAAATAAAAGAATGTGTATACAAAAGTGACTCTGAACACAGTATTGAAGGAATATTATGAATAATTTCTATTTACCTTTGGATCAGGTAAATAACCATGATGAAGGCTACCAGATCAACACATCCACTGATGAAAAAGGTTAAATAATGGTTCCCTGCCAGACCTGCTATCTTAAATGTCATCCCATAATATCCAACACACACAGAAAACCTGAAAAGTACAATAAATCTTATATCATTTGCATATCTATTAATACTTGAATGTGATTGGTCTGTTTCTTTCCTTGGTTGACACTTTGATACATTGTTAATTCAGAAATTATTACGAGGCTTTTATTAAGGCTAATAAAGCGACTGGGTGAGTATTGCAATAATAAGAACTCTCATTCTGAATTGGATACATATATCTGTATGCAGATTTTCCGGAAATTGCAATAATTAATCTCGCAGTTTTGTCCATTCTTCAAAAATCGCAATAATAAATGCATGCAATAATTTCTGTATTTATAGTACATGTTATATTGTAATGCTTATATCATTAAAGAAGAAAATGAAAATTGAACTTGACCTTCATTTAGTCACAGGAAACAACATATCTAAATTTGAAAAGATTTCGTCAAAGCGTTTTCATGTTAATGAATGGACACTGTTTGGCAAAAGCTTGTCGTACATCCCCAAATCAATAACCTTTTTCCTTTGAAAATACGGTTAAAAAGGAGAAATTGAATTATTGAATCGACACTTATAATGTTGACCTCTAGATGGATTATTTTTTGTAGTTGTTGGTTTGAAGAGTTGCTGTCTCATCAACTTATATCCCACATCTTATATTCCATTTTTTTATTCTGTATGCCTCTGAATATAAAATTTGTTTTCTTCAAATTTACTGCCGATTTTTAAATTTGAAAATTTGTCATCTAAAATAAAGATAATTTGTATCCAATTCAATGCAGTGATGTAATCCAGACCTGCCAACTATCCCGATTTATGGGAGATATCCCCCATAAGAGGTGTTGACTTGAATTTTGAAATTCTTTATGATATAAACTGAACACCTCAAAACAGGCATTCAAATGAGTTAAAAGGATATTTAAGCACATATATTCTCATTCAAATGATTTGTATCTAATTCAATGCAGTGATGTTATGATAATCTCTAAATAACTACCATAAATAAAACAAAATCAAGCTGTGTTTTCGTAGAATTGGTGTTCGCAGAAGATCATAAAACATGTACTGTCGCCCCAGTTGATTATCTTTAGCTTCGATCTGGATTTGGAGCTCATCCATTGTTCTAGCAGGGAAGGATAGATTGTTGAACTTGGTGATTCTTTTTACTACTTTTTGAGCTTGATCAATCTTATCTTTTATCATAAGCCATCTCAAAGTTTCTGGTACCAACCTAAAACAAGAGAATAAAAAAGTTAATATATGATCGAATACTGTTTTAAATTTGAGAATTCATTTTTTTTTTCTTTGGTTGTTTTGTGCTTGGTTAGTTTTTTGTTTGTTATGTTTTGTTTTTTTGTTTTTTTTTTTTTTACAAAGGTAATTATGATTTCTATTTATAATTCATTCATAAATCTACATTAATATAAACAAAATACTGAAAATTCAAAAAATATTGCGATGTCTTTATTAATGCAAAAAATGAGACAATATGATCAGGTTTGCAATAATAACAACTTACATTCATAATTTCAGTAGACTTTTGCTACATAAAATTTTTCCAAACACATTAAAAAGATTTTTGCATTTTTTCCAGCGTTGATTTGCAGTAGTAACCAAAACAAATGAAAAATTTACATTTTTGTTGAATGTTTTCTGCTTTGTATTGATCTGATGAGTTAAACCCTTTTCCAATGATTTTCATAGTTAGTTCTTATGTTGTACTGTTACACCACTGTCCCAGGTTAGGTTAAGGGTTGGCGCCTTCAAACATGTTTAACCTTGCAACATTCTGTATGTGCTTGACCCAAGTCAGCAGCCGGTAGTTCAGTGTTTGTCGTTGGTTCATGTCTGTCATATTTGTTTTTTGTAAATTGTTTTGTTATAAATTATGCCTTTAGTTTTCTCAATTGAACTGTTTCATATTATTCACATCCAGGCCTTTTATAGCCATTTATATAGCATGGGTTTTTCTCATTTTTGAAGGCCATACAGTTACCTATAATTGCTTACATCCACTTCATTTGAACTTTGGTGGAAAGCTGTCTCATAGGCAATCATACCACATCTCCTTATTTTAAAATGTGACTTACCAGATATAGGTAAGCGCCAAGGCACTAGGAACAGATATTGCTAGTTGTATATTTCTCCAGTCCTGTAGTAGATAAGCTATACCCGCCATCATGATGACAGTCACACCCCAGAAACATTCCAACACAGCTCCTGCAGTCCCTCTATACTGGGGGAGGAACAACTCCATCACCATTACATATGTCGTGGTTTGTAGACCCTGTTATAAGTAAATGATTTATTGATAGGGAAAAGAGATCAGTGTTCCAGCTAGGATTTCAAAAGGGCAGGGAGCCAATCATGAAAAGGGCACTTTAGCACGATGATTAATATTTCAAATAGGGCATGTCAAACATTGTCTTATGTTAACTGCAGGGGTTTCAGCTAGGAGTTTTGAGGGGGTTTAGTAACTTTTATGCTAGATGAAAATCAACCTTATTTTGGGTAACAGTATTTAAAGGACCATGCAAGGACATATATTACGCAGCGGCATTTTGTAGAATTATTTTTATTTCATTAGTGAAATGAATTGTGCATGTCAGTTAAAATACTACACATCTGCAATACAGTCAGGAACAATACCTTACATTTTCTCCAGGGGCCAACCTGGATCCCAAAACTTTTTTCCAAGGGCCCAGTAGAAATTTTAAGGCCCTTCCAGGGTATTTTTACTACAGGTACATACTTATTAATAGTCCATATGTAGCCCAATGTTTCTGATTATATTAGAAATAATAAATGAATTATAATAAACCACATTGAGTTTTTCAGAATTAAAATCCATTTAACCATGTCTTTTCAGACTGTTCAACTTATATTTGTAATATTATATATAAAAAATATATAAAAAAATCCCCCCCCCTTTTTTCCATTTTACACACCCCTAGATGTAGAGTATTAAAGTATTATCAGTTTCACCCCAAGAAAGTATTCATTTTTAATGAAATTATCTTAGCAGTTAATCAAAATGAAAATCTTACTGTCTATAAATAACAATGAAATGTAACTGTTTCTTGTTAAAGGGGTTTTCCGAATTTTCCCGCCAAAAAAGCACATGGCTTTCAACAAATGTAAACAAAGCAGTCAATTTGTGATCATGGATTACAGCTATAATTAATTTAATTAAGATATAGATATTCAATGAAAGGTACAGTCAAGCATTGTTTTTACTTTCTTCTGGATTAAAACTAGTTTAAAAGATAAATTTAATAAAAAAAAAAATCTTTAACATAACAACAGACGATCTACAGATACATCAAACGCAACTTGTCATCTTTTGAGAAATATTGAAATTGAAATGCTGACTGACCGAATTTAATGAAAAAATTATTACAATGGTAAATTATGAAGTTTAATTAACGGATTACTGACCCATTCGATGTCGATAAGCGGATTATCTGTAATCACAACTCAGGGCAGCAAAGTCTCACGCATTTAGCGTGAGACTCACGCATTTTCATGCTTATTTGGAGGCATTTTCCTTTGATCTATTGTTTTTTCTCTTTGATCTTTACGATTTTGGCCAAATCTCACACATTTGCATTATTAAAAGTTGGCAGAACTGACAACTTATTACACCTGCTGTAAATGTTAATTAGCTAAGGGTCATAAACTTGTCATAAATATGAAGACAGGTAGAATAATTGTATTTTCATCAAAATATTATGGCAATAAAGGCATGGACTTACGAAAAGGGGCAGGGCGTCTTAAAAAGGACACAGGGCGTCAGAAAAAGGGCACAGGGCAGCACTCGGGAAAGGGCGGGCGGACCACCCTGTGAAAACAACCTAGCTGGAACACTGGAGATGATAGGTATACAATGCAAGTGGCAATGAGACAATAATCCAAGAACACAAAAAACAAAAGAGTATGACATTAATACATAAATGACATATCAAAATTGTTCAGCATTTTTTTCCCTTTTTCAGCATCTTTTTATTGCAGTCCAAATTTTTATGATTATAAAATATATTTAATGAATGCATAAAATCTGAATATTTACAAGACTTGAAATAAACATATTTTCATTTAAAGAATTTTACTTGAATTAAAGTAACATTTTCTTGATACAAAAATGTGGATTTTTTGTCATCAAATTGAAAACCATGTACATATTTTAGTCCTTTATAATTACAATAGCTATGTCAGACTGCAACTTCAAATACACTATAAATAAATGGAAATTTTCACATATTTTTTTTTTACTCTCAAAATGTTCAACTTCTTTTAAGCTTTTATGACCCCTTCTCTAGGCCTGTGTATTACGAAAATTTCAAAGTGCAAAAGTACTGACTAAAATAGACGTGCCATTTTGTACATATACCAAATGGAAACTGTGGATTTTGTGGCTCCTCAAGCCAAGATTCTTACAGAAAATCCCCCGACTTTAATACATAGATTTTCATTATAAAGTTTGAAACAAAGATAACTCATTTTGTTTGTTCATGTTATTCTAGCCTATATTGTTTACAAAATTCCCTAAACAACCTTTACGATAAAAAAATAAAATGCTTCGCTGAGCGCAGCCAGATACGACCGCAGAGGTCTAACCCTGAACAGTTGGGGCAAGTTTGGACACAATATTCAAGCTTGATACTGTCTGAATTTGGATTGTGATCAAATTTTTGACATAATATAGGTTTCTGACACAAAATAAATGTGGTCAAAGATCTTAAAAATTTGAAATGGGACATTTAATTTTCCTAGAATGGTCTGATATAAAAAATCAAACAACATGGTTAGATTCAGCATATAAAAAACACCAAAAATTTAATTTTAGTTGAAATCAAACAAAGTTTAATTTTAGACCCTTCAAACCTTAATATGGACTAATTTGAAAACAGGGCCCAAAATAAAAAAAATCTAAATGCACAATAATTCAGTTTTTGATGAAATCAAACAAAGTTTAATTTTGGACCCTTTTGACCTCAATGTAGACCAATTTAAAAATGGGGCCCAATATCCAAAAAGTAATACAAGGTTAGAACCCCCAAAATTAAAGACTTTAAATTAATCCCATTGAAAATGGTTAAAAGATTTGTATTTATTTTCAATTGAAGATTTCTTGCTATTGCGCAATACTGTGCAGTTTAAGATTTCTTGCTATTGTGCAATACTGTCTGAAAACTAGAAAAATGCTTGTTTTTGGCCCCTTTTTTGCCCCTAATTCCTGAATCGTTGGGGCAATTACCCCCAAACTCAATCCCAGCCTTCCCTTTGTGATATGGAATCTTGTGGTACAATTTCTGAGATATCTAATACACTAACACACAAGTTATTGTCCGGAAACTACAAAAATGCTTGTTTTTGGCCCCTTTTTGGCCCTAAATTCTAAAACTGTTGGTACCATAACCCCCAAACTCAATCCCGACCTTTCTTTTGTGGTATTGAACCTTCTGGTAAAATTTCTCAGAGATCCATTCACTTCAACTAAAGTTATTGTCCGGAAACCAATGTGTCTTTGGATGACGCCGATGACGACACCATAGCATTATGTATAAAAACCTTGTGCTGAGTCACAAAAGTCGAGCGCAACCTAGATGGTGTACTTGAATGGGTCCATATTTGTACTTGTTTAAGCTAATAACTTCATAAAACTTGTTTTAGGAAAATCATTGCTGGCACTGCATGAAGTAATCCACTATCTGTTAAGTACATAATTGTCAAATATAATAGTACTGTAAAAGAGGAAAGGCTGTGGATTGTCTATAAAATTTCCATATCTTTAGCATTGAAACAACGAAAGGGTACATAATCCTTAATATATTCTGTTGTTCACTCAACAATGTCAATAATATGTGGAAACATTCTACCATGTTTTGATCAAAACTGCTTCCTTAACTCCACATCGACCCAACTATTTGAGTCAATAGTAATTATACATTTGATGTAAACTTTCTAAGGTAAACATTACCTGAATAAAAATTCCCTGTAGGAACCTCAGACCAACAAACAAATAGTAGGACTTGACTAAAGCTGTCAGCACACCAATAGCGACTGGTGTAAACAGAGTAACCAGCATAATTTTCTTCCGTCCAAACTTGTCGGCAAGGTAACCAAAGATTAACCCACCAACCATCACGCCAATAAAATAAATTGTTGTTGCCAGCCGTGACAAGTAGGCGTTACTACAAACAAGGTCCCACTGAAATTCAATAAAACATATAATTATTTTAAATATTAGTACATGAACTATACAAATTCTTGCTGATACTAAATAAAAGGCACAGTGTAAAGTTAAAAATTTTAATGCAGTGAGTCTGTTGTACATGTTGTAGTGATATTTGTGGCATTTTTTTTTAGATTACTTACTTTTTTTTTATATTACTTATATGAATGTTAGCAATAAATACATAATTTCCAAAGTCGGAAAACCATCTGTTTGTAGATCAATGTTATTTGTTCAAATAAAGGATATCAGTAAAATAGTAAATATTTGTTTGCAGTAAGTCAGTAAAACTAAGACTGAAGCAGCTAAGTTCTGATCCAAATGCAATATTTTTGGCACAAGGTCAGTAAATCTTTTTTGACTTTTTCAGACCCTTTGTTCTGTTTTTTTAGCTGCTGTTTATTTCAAACTATTCAAAACAAGCATTCTGTGAGTATTGCACGGCAATACAAAGTCCCCTACCGGTTAAAAATTCATTGTATTGGAACAAAATTCTAACTTGATCTATAACTTGTCATGGTGTAAACTATAAAACAAATATCAAGTCAATATCTTCAAGCATGATGAAAAAAGGTGTTGAAAACTGATTATTTAAGTGAATTTTCTAAGTCCAAGGACCATAACTCTGCACAAAATCATCAGACCGGAACAAAATTCGAACTCGATCTGTAACTTGTCATGGTTAAACTATATACCAATTATCAAATCAATATCTTCAAGAATGACCAAAAAAAAGTGCGGAAAACTGATTATTTTAGTAAATTTTCTAAGTCAAAGTACCATTACTCTGCACAAAATCATAAGACCGGAACAAAATTCGAACTTGATCTTAACTTGTCATGATAAGACAATGCACCAAATATCAAATCAATATCTTCAAGCATGAAGAAAAAAGCTGATTTGCCGGACTGACGGATGGACAGATAGACAGACAGACAGACCGATGGAGTGCAAACCTAAAGTCCCCTCGACTTCGTCGGTAGGGGACTAAAAAGACCAGGTGTGTATATGATTGTTGAGTATTTTATTTTCTGTTGATGGTTGGTGGTTGTCTCTGAAAACTCCAGCTTCCTCTAACAATTATATCTGGAATCCATGATACGGCCAAGTGTGTTGAAAGTGTAGTTAACCACCATTAATCAATCAATCAATGAGTATTTTAAACTTAAAGTTGTCCTATATGCTGAAAGAAAATTCTAGCAAAAACAAGTATTGGTTCACATATATTTTAGTCATTTCTATTTTTACCTCTGATGCAATAGATGATTCTTTGCCAACATATTTCCATTTTCCATTAGGAGAAGAATCACAGTTGAATATTTCACTTTGGTTGGTGCTATCACTAAAAAAGTACTTGGTACTGCATTTACCATATTCAGTTTTCTCCTTTTTCCATAAACTATTATCAGTTGTTGACGAAAAATTTAGCATATATGTAGGATCCTCATAGCTAGCATTATAACACTCATACTGAGGTGGACGTCCAATGAAAGCCATGACAATATGGTTGAAGACAACAGGGAAGTAGTTTAAAGCTAGAAGCAGGAATATACAGATTTGGTACTTGCCAGGACTGCCAAGTTCTTGGAGCAAGGTTTCTAACTTGATCTTCATGATTAATCAGTGTTGTGTTGGTCTTACACGTTTACTGAAAGTAGAAGTAATGCTTGTTTAACAAGATTATTGTTACAAGTTTTGATACAAAATTACTGGGTAAGTTAACTTACTAACCTTTTAAAAAAACTTTAGAACTATACAAAATAATGAGATGAGGTCTGATTGCCAATTCCAATGCGACAACTATCTGTCGTAGACTAAAAGACCAGGTAAACAATTACAGGTCATTGGACAGCCTTCAATAATGAGCAAAACCCATATCAAATTGTGATCTATAGGACAAAACGTGACATAATTCTAAAGAGAAAATCATTGGCCTGAACTAAGCTTTAACAGTAAACAAAAATTGATTATGGAAGACAGGACAGAACATCAAATCTATCAACAATGATCAACTAGATTTGGTATGACATTCATGAAAAAAATTTCAGGAAGAAATTAACATATTTTGTTGCTATTCAATAAATAATTTACTCAAACTGAAAGGTTTTTTGGGGTAACATTAACAGATTCTTGAAATGCAAAAAAAACAAGACTGAATAGATAAATTATTAATTAAATACATACTAACATTTGGTTGAGAACAGAAACAAATATTTCAGGAATTTTTCCATTTGTAAAGGGGCATATCTCTAGAACGGTAAAAGTGATGCTACCAAAATTCAAACTTGATCTGTGTTTTGTGGTAATAAGCATTGTGTATAAGTTTCATAACATTTGGTTGAGGCAAACTAAAGTGAGAGAACGAAAACCAAAAATTCAGCAATTTTTCCATTTGTAAAGGGGCATAACTCTAGAATGGTAAAAGTGACGCCACCAAAATTGAAACTTGATCTGTGTTTTGTAGTAATAAGCAATTTGTATAAGTTTCATAACATTTGGTTGAGGCAAACTAAAGTAAGAGAACGGAAACCAATTATGGGATGTACGTATGTACAGACGGACAAGGGTAAATCTTAATGCCCCCTCCGCTACAGAGGGGCATACAAAGCATGTGGTACCCTATATTATAACACAGGGATCATTAAAGAACAAACTTCTTGATAAAGTTTGTGGAAAGCATACCAAGATGTTATAATTCTTTCCCTGGCTATACCTAACTCACATAATACATTTGCAATAGTTTGCATATTTGTTTTCAAAATTTCACTTCTTTTTAGAGGGGTTACAGTTAAAATAAAACATGTTTTTCTTACCTTAACAAAATGATGTAATAACTTCTATTTCATTTGGTCTCTGGTGGAGAGTTGTCTCATTGGCATTCATACCACATTTCTTATTTTTATCAACAGTCATTCAAAACAAATCCATTAAAAAAGTAATCTCCTTATGTTTTTTGTTATGTTAATTCTATTTATATGTAAAATTGACCCATATTATCATGATTATATATACTATACATTGTAAATGTTGTATTTAAAATATCACTGGTATTTTTATCTAATGACAAGTTATGCATTTCATTCAATGTCATTTAAATTTTAATAACCTAGGTATTGGCATTCGACCAAACACATTATAACTTATAAATTCAGTATGGTTTTCCCTTTTCAAAAAGAATTGTACTAAATTACAGAGACTAACATTTATTTGTAGAAAAAAACATATACATATCAATATTCCAGATGTCATCCAGATCTATGATTGGACTTTTCAATTTAAAGATTAGTTTCCTGACATGGAGGTCCAATCTTCTTCTATGAACAATGATCAAGAAAAAAATTGATTGATTGATTGGTTGATGTTTTCATGCCACTTTCAGCACTAATAGATATATATTTCATGGCAGTCAGTTTTTATAAGTGGAGGAAGCTGGAGTGCCTGGAGAGAACCACAGACCTCCGACAGAAAAACTGACAATCCTAGTCAATTAAGATTGGAGTCAAATGCACCTGCTACATGCAGGGTTTGAACTCACAACCTCAGTGTTGACAACTAGTGAAACAATAGTTGGACTTCTTAGAACATTTGACCACCGAATCCCCAAGAAAAAAAATAAAAAATGCCATCTTCTGTTCTCGCTCTTATCACATTATAAGTAGTTGTCAGTCCTGTAAAACTTGACAATTGATTGTCCATAGTATCTGACATCTTGTTTTAACTTACTAATTTATTGGATTCATACTAAAAATATATTAAATTTTAATAATTCAACTGCAAATTGCATCATATACATTTGTACTTAAAGTTTTGTTGATTATATTCATAATTATTAGGAATGTCAACTCGGTGAAGATTTACTAATCGAGTCTTCGTTGGATTTACCGAGCAATACTCGAGTACTCGCTCGGAAAAACATCTACAAAATGGAAACACAAAATTACACCCATTTTACGTATTGTGGGACGTTGTCTTATGGACGTAAACCCTCAATTTTATTACCCAGGACTAGATAATAGTCCTAGGACGTTTATACCATATAGTTATGTAAGCTGGCAATGATCTAATCAATTAATTAATATACATCTATAGAAAAAAAGATTACTCAAACAATAGTAATTGGGAATCCTAAAAAAACACATTTAATGATCAGCAAAGGGTGATGATTAGAACTTACGGATGCCTTAAACCATTTTCTGAGGGTCGATACAGGGTGCAACAAAATTGTTCTTATTAAGTAATATTATCTTGTCAGCTTTTTCTGTGACAGAGTTGATTCTCAACTTTGTTACGTAATTAAAAGTCCTGCTGATGAAACTATTTGCTCTGACGGTACAGAGGTAGTTTAATGTCACTCAGACACGCTACGCTAAAAGTGTAAGTCTTGGAAAGGTGCTCTTGTTCATAGTCCACCTATGTTTGGAGGAATTTTAAATGACAATTAAACGCAAACATTCGAAACGTAATTTTGATTAATTATGATTAATATTTAACTTCCCGGGAGGTGCTCTTAATAAAAATATTATTTCTTTAAGAAGGCAACAACATTCTTACAGGAAACCGATTAGTCGAGTACTCGAGTACTCGTTGACATCCCTAATAATTATATATGATTGTCAAAATTTAATTGTGTCAGTTATTAAAAATCAATGTAATATATTACTTTGATCTTCATGGGCCCTTTAATTGGAATAAAAATATGTTATCTTATACTGTAAGTTCAGAAATTATTCTGAAATATTTCGATGGAATACATGTCGCAAAAATGAAAACTCAGGCATTTTAGATTTTGATAGCATTATATATATGCAGCATTTCCTAAAATCACAATAATCAATCTCGCATTTGTGTCCATTTTCAACAATCCCAATAACGAATAATAAATGCAAGCAATAATTTCTAATATTTCATTAATATTAAGATAAGTATGTGACACCCTAGAGTAGGAAATTTCCCCCTGAGGGATATATCCCTTTTTGGAGATTCAAAAAGATAACACATATAAATGGAGTTGTCACTTACCTTACTTTTTTAACATGTATGTATATACATGTATTCTAAAACTACTTATTTCTAGCTAGTCACTGAAATACTAGAATAAAGACTGGGCTAACAACTTGAATGTCTAATGATTTTAATTACAGATATGCCATTATATTAAAAGACTCAATAAAGAACCGGAAATCTAAAGGTCAATATCTAACAAATATTACAAGATAGCATTCTGTTGTGAAAAGAATAAACGGTAAAATCAATGAACAAATCGATATACTAACGATTCAATTCAGTTTAATGGAAAGTTATAAATAAAGAGTTCCAATAATAACCTGTTGTTCTGTGATGTATTTCATTCTAACTCTCCTTAAAAGAGATAAAACTGCAAGAAGGTGTGAATCTAAGCTAGATGGATACCCAGGTTGGGTTTTTCGGTATGGATTTTCATTGGTGCTTTTTTTAATTCTTATTAAAAATGTATTCTATTTCAGTTCTATGACTGCTGTAGTGGAAAATCTAGGAATTTCAAAATGGGAAGCCTGGAGGGCCCCATCAAAAAAGAAGGAGTTGGAAGGGAGCATCATGGGAAAAATGTACTAAAAATCTTAAATTTTTTACCATAAGACCACCTCCTGAATCTGTTCCTGTGCAGAATATTGTTTTCCATTGTCAGACTTTATTTTTTCCATCCCATTACTTTTTTATTTTATGGTCATTTTCTATTATCCCATTATATCAAGTTCATTTTCTTGATAAATCCTTTTTGTTCTGCTGGGGCATATGAAAAATTGATTGATTGGTGTTTGCCACTTTCAGCACTATTGGCTATTGTGCCTGGAGAGAACCTAGACCCTTTGACAGGAAAACTGACAATCCTAGTCACAATCTAATGAATATATAAAGTAAACCAAGGTTATTTGTTTCCAAAATCAATATTCTTACAAATAAAACTGTCATTTAAAATTCAAATAAGGATGCTTGAAATCATTAACAATGCATTTACCTTGAATCAAATGTAGCAGTATTTGTACAATCTCTTCTCTAAAACAGATCCAAATGCATGATGCATATCATGTTAATATATATATGATAAAAACATGACATTCAATTTATTGTTTATGTCAACACTGAGTGGCAAATATGTAAACATGTTGATACATGCAGGTTCATTGACCTTAAACAAAATTCTCTGCAGCTATTCCTGTTGAAAATTTCCCTAAATTATCTAATGTTTTGATTACTTCACAACTTTTTCTATTTACAACAATATTCTAAACTTATTTTTCTAAGTAAGATTTTTCTATTGATCCCAAACTACCTGTTTCCCAACTTTGTTAGTTGGAAAAGGACCTTTCTGAACAATAATTTGTGGATGCTCCTTTGCTCTTTGTTTACCCTTTTTCTTTTACCTTATTTGGAACTGGGTGTGGCATGTACAAATATGTAACATATGTTGTGGTTTATTTTATATTTTTCTGGGGGGGGGAGCAAGGTTTTCTTGTTCCCAAAATACTGGTACGTCTTCTGTGTTCTATGTTTCTAAAATACCAAAGCAGACTTCAAATTACCTAAGCAAATCCTTGTTTTGAGTTTTCAGTCACTTATAAAAAGGTTTTCATGCTAACGAAAGAACAATTTTTGGCTGATTTTAAGAAA